GCGATTGCAGGCGCCTTACCAGAGGCATGGTGTACCTGTGATTGTGTTGTCTTCAGGTCGAAGACAACTCGCTGCATCTGAGCCCATATCTTGGCGATGTCTGCATCCCGAGATCTCCTAAGTGCCCTTCGCTCCTGCTCCCGTTTGTAGCGCTCTGCTACTGAGGGTCCGCGTTCGTCGACGCTGGAGAAATCGTCGTACTCCGAAGCATCTTGCAGCGCTTCTGTCTGGGAGGACGATGACACGCTTCGTCCGTCTGGGGCACGCGTTCCCCTTGGGTTACCTCTGACATCCTCCGTTCGTGCGCGTCGATGAGGAGGAGGCTGATCTTCGTCGGAGACCCCTTCGAAGTGCTCGGGAGGTCTGTCGGACTCCCACCGCGGAGGTGGAGGCGGTAAGTCGCTTGGATCTTGTCGAGCAGCACGAGGTGTTGAGAAGTTGAGGCGATGCGGGTCAAAGCGACCCCTGGGTCCTGCGACGTCGGGTCTCTCGCGCTTCCGTCGTGAAAGAACTTTCAGTTTGTTCGCAGTTGCCTCGTTAAACTTCTTTTGCTCGTTGGACTCCTTGAGGAGCGTTTGCAGCATCTGCTTGACCTCGGTCATGTCGCCATGGTTAGTAGCGTTGTTCGTAGCAGGGGTTTTGACGGAGTTCTCCTCCTCGTTGATGGCTCTGTGAGACGAGGACTCCTTGCTGCTGCTGCTCGATTGGTTTTCTTCGCCGCTTATCTTCGCAGATCTGGTGCGTAACGTAGCTTTTTGTGTGAGAAAGTCTCTAATTCCCCTTAGACGGCGCCAAATTGTGGGAGTAGAAACTAACACAATTAGATTTGTAAGGGTTTCGAGAGGAAGCAGAGATTTCTAGGTTAAGCTACGAAAGAAACGATGAGCAAAGAGAAACGTTTGTTATTGCTGTGTATGCTTTTGTGAACAAAGTTGCGGATACTTTTACAAGGGTTTTTACATCAACTATATATAACGTTCCTAAGTCGGCTAGGTTTCCTAAGTCTTCGCGGATTCCCTCTTCGCCTATGTCGGTTTCGCCGAAGTGGGCTTCGTGACTGGACTGGGCTTGCTGTCTTAACTAGRCCGGAGGCGAAGCCCAARCCAYTTGATTGTCACCGCCATTTRGTGGGTGTCGAGAGYTCATCGACTCGAGTCCTCTTCGTGCCGCCGTAGACATCGGTCATCGGGTCTGCCGCCATCGGGTCCAATGTCATCGGATCTTGGGTGACTTCGATGCTCGCCTCGGAGACGTGACCCGAGGTGAACATTACCCCGAGGTGAATAGTAACCCGAG